GGGTGAGCGCGCTCATGGGGGCGCGGTGGGGGCGGCGGGAGAGGGGCTGGGGCCCAGACGGAGTCCGGGTTCCCAGGCCCGCGACAGACGCAGGGAGGGAGCCCAAGGCACCCTAGCGGGTGGAACGGCAGTGGGTGGGCAGAATCCGGGGTGGGAGTGCGTAGATGCGTGGAAACCACGCAGGTGGTGGGCAAGCTGGCAACCTGGCTTCTTTTCCCCTAATGCCAGTTTAATGGCCTTGTCTGACATTGAAAAAAAAAGCGTTGAAAAAAAAATCGATTTCAAAGACCCTGTTTCTCTCCCCTCCTCCTTTATCTATTTATTTTTGAGCCTTAAAATTACAACGCACTAAATTCAATGTAATATCCTGCTTTGGATCCTGGAACAGAAAAAGGACATCAATAGAGAGACTCAGGAAATCCTAACAAATCTGTGATTTAGTTAATAGTATGTACCAATGTTAATTTCTTAATTTTGATTCATGTATCCTAATGTTAACATTAAAGGAATTTGGGTAAAGATTATACAGGAGTTCTTAGTACTACCTTTGCAACTTACTATAAATCTAAAATTATTCTAAAATGAAAAGTTAAAAAACAAAAACAAGTGAAGTACAGCAGGCCACTGCTCACCAGGGAGGGCTCAAGTCATTTCCTCTTTGCCAAGCCTGACAGGAATTAGGTGTCTGTTTGACTAGCTTGTTTGCTAAGGCAGAGATCTCAGGCTAGTGGGTGTAGATGCTTTTAGCCCAACTTTTCCCGCATGAATATGTTTTCTCTTTCAATTCTATCCAGTGAATATCTTTGGAATACTAGTTATTCATGAGCAAACATACTCCCTGCACTAGGGGATGTAGACCTGGCACATGCAATAAAACCCTAGTTCAGGTAACAAGTAACGACTTTTAAAAAGGTGCAATACAGAGCTAGCAGGGCTCAGAGGTAGGAGAATTCACATCTGGCCCAGGAGAGTCAGGAAAGATACTAGAAGGAGTGTTGTCCTCAACTAAGGAGAAGCCTGAGAGGAGAAAGCATTCGTGGGGTGGAGAGTGGCTCATGCAGAGTCTTGAAGGTGACCAAAGCAGGGGAGTGGGTGGGAGTGGCGGGGGACGTGGTGCTGGGAGCAGGTGCAGTCCCTCTTATGTGGAAGCACAGAGTACACCCAGGGAGTACTGAGACAGATGAAACTGGAAATGGAAATTGGAGTCTTGTAGAAAACAGGATGACACTCTAATTATATACTCCATGGGAGCCACGACATGTTTTAGGACAAGAGAAGAACATCATTGGGTTTGTGCTTGGAGATTATTGACTTGGTTGGCTTGGAGCAGACCAATTAAGGTACTATGGATTTTGCCCAGGAGAAGTTGTGGGATGTTCAACCGTGGCAGCGAAGTTAATGTGCAAAGAATAACATGGTTTGGGGAGATTTTTGAGGATCTGGAGGACTTAGCAACTGAAGGCATGTGAGCACCAAAGAGAAAAAAAAACAGTAAAAAAACAATTCCAAAGTTTTGCACCTGGGTATTTTGGAGCATCGTTGATGCATTTACAGAAATGGAGGACTCAGGAGGAGACCTGGGCTGAGGGTGGGGAGGATAAAGAATTCGTTTTTGAACAAGCTGTGTTTGAATTGCTGGCATGATATCCAGCTGGAGATGTGTATTTAAGAGTGTTAAGAGTGGAAGGCAAACATATACAGAAAGGACAGGAATAGGAAAAGGAGCCTGAGTGGGCAGATATGAGGCAGTCAGGGAGGAGGGAAGAGGATCTAATTTCTTGTGGGGTTGAGGTGCCAAGGTGGACCAGGGACCTGGGCAGGTGAGTCAGTAGTGTTGCAGCTTCTGCAGAGGTGGGGAAGGCTGAGGAATGAGACAAGATCTTGGATTTAGCAATTAGGAAGTCATTAGTCATTTTTCAAAGAGTTGTTTTTGTGGAAAGTGGGAAGACTTCTAATAGTCTGTGCTGTCTGGCCTTTCCAAAGTGGCCAGAGGACTGGGCAAAGAGCTAGAGATGTGGTTTCTAGTCCTGTCTCTGCCACTAACTACCTTTGTAATTTTGGGCAACCATGTATGCCTGGCCTAGAAGAGGGAAAAACATCCCTCGATAAAACTGAAAGGACCTTTTTATTCCTAGCAACACCTAATAGTCCAGAGAACTGGTGTTCCATGGGGCATGCTTTAGAAAATGCTAACACAGAAACAGAATTTTAGAGCTCTAAAGAACCAAAAAATCCCTGTACTGGCCAGTTACCAAAAATAAAATTAAAATAAAGAACCAAAAAATTAATCCCCTCATCTGACAAATGAAAAGAAACTAATACTCAAATTCTAACTCAATAAACATTGATTTGGCTATGATAGTTGATTTCAAATATATCAGTGATGCCCAAAATGACCTTATAAAGTAGTTATGCTTAATCGCATTTTGAGGATAAAATAGGCCCCTAGAAGTTAAATGATTTGCCCAGAATCAAAGAGTGGCAAGTGGTAGAGTGAGATTTGAACCCAGACCCTGAGTTACGCATGCCTTTTCTGTTACACATGCAGCTGCCTCCCTGTCATCAACACAGAATACACTTAACTGTCTGAATAGAAAGTTAATAACTTTAACTATTTTCACTTTCTTAGAAGTAATGTGTCCCAAAAATGAAGTTTGATTTGTACTGTATTATATATTAATATGACCATTAGCATATAGAAAGTGGAAGATCCTTGTTAATATAGTGGAGAGTAAAAAAAAAAAAAAAGCAGGTGGCTGAGTACACAGCCAACAGTCCCTGAAGTTACAATTTAAAAAGTAGTAGAGCATTGGGCCACGTGAAAACTCTCTGTATTCAACTCTGAATAGCAGGAAGATGTTCCTGTCACCTGAATACATGTGGTGCATTAAAAAAAATTCTTTTAGGGCCAGCCCGGTGGCGCACTGCTACAGTGCGCTGCTTGGGAGTGCGGCGGCACTCCCGCCGGGGGTTCGGATCCCATGTACAGACCGGCCGCTCACTGGCTGAGTGAGGTGCGGGTGCAACACCAAGGGTTGTGATCCCGTTGCCAGTCCCGGTCCGGTATGGGCGCGACACTGAGGGTTGCGATCCGTTGCCGGTCACGAAAAAAGACAAAAAGGAAAAAAAAAATTCTTTTAAATGATGGCAAGGTTGCGGAGAAAAAGGAACTCATACATGGTGGGTGGGACTGCAAAATGGTGCAGCCTCTATGGAAAATGGTATGGAGGTTCCTCAAACAATTGCAGATAGATCTACCATATGACCCAGCTATCCCACTGCGGGGAATATACCCAGAGGAATAGAAATCATCAAGTCGAAGGTATACATGTTCTCCAATGTTCATTGCAGTACTATTTACAATAGCTAAGAGTTGGAACCAGCCCAAATGTCCATCATC